TGGTCCTCCAGGGGGAGAGCAACCCTGTCTAGAACGGGCTGTCCACCACATATCCAGCAAGTCCTCTCCTCCTTCCAGAGGGGAGGGGTTGTGAGCGGGAGCCAGTTCCCACGTCGGCAGGGGGGCATTTTCAGCCCCCTGCCTCAGCCATTCGGCTGCTGCGCTGCACCCCCCTTGCCAGCCAATTGGCTCAGCTTGGGGGCAGGGTTTAGCCGCACTTATGCAAGCGCTGCACCCACATTGTGATTCTGGAATTTGGTTAGGCATTGGAATATGTGTGGTGTGTTGGAGGGCAAGTTGGGGACATCACATACCCCTCACTTTTTGGGTATTCTGTTAAAGGGATCCGGTGGTCATGGATCCTGTCTGATGCCCTGCTGGTGGCTAGGGCCATGGCACGACCCCCGGTGACGTCAGGGGGAAGCTTCCAGTTGTATTTGCATCAACAAGCTCCTCCCACTGGTCGTTAACCCTCCAAATGACTTCCCGCTGTCAGGGTTGAGTCATGTATAGTTTGTTTGATCCAGTGCCTAAGCCAATACCACTCACATGCTGTAACCAATAAAGTTGTGGCCTTATTTAGCCCCTTAACCTAAAATACATGTGTCCTTGTGTCTTATTTATCCTTAAACGGGTGGCGGGTCCTCGACTCACAAAAGGAACCACACACTAGCAGCACCTTGGTCTTGCTTGGACTGAACCTCTCTTCATTGGTCTCCATCCAGTCCATTACCACAGCCAGGCCTAAAGAGTTGCTATCAAGGGCACGTTCCTCAAGGGAGCTGATCTGAAGCAGCTCAATTAAAACAAGAGCTCCCATTCACTTCAAATAAGGTTTGTGCAAATGGGTTGTGCCCTCAGATAGTGTTCTATCATTTCTTCAGACATGAATTCTGTTTCTAAATCACCACTGTGTTGGTTGATTACTTGATTGATTGAATCCTTCTGAAATGCACCCCAGGAACCTGGAGGATTCTCTGTTGTGTTAGGAACCACGACAGATTCTTCTTCTTGTTGTTGTTCTTTGGCGATCCCTCGTAGCCGAGTAAGATTGCCTTCCATGAACATGGTTTTAACAGTGAGTCTGTGAGTGACTGTGGAGGCCAATTCTGGATCCACATGTCCTTCCACAGTGGGGACATAGGTTTCCAGGCAGAAGTTGATCACGGTGAGGGTTTGCCAAGCGTGCCTTCCTCTTAGCATGTTTCTCCCTTTCGTCCTGCATTCGAGAGTCTTCAAAGCCCATGACACCTTTGGTAAATGCTGTTCTCCAATTGGAGCGCTCGCAGGCCAGTGTTTCCTAGTTCTCAGTGTATATACTACATTTTTTTTAGATTTGCCTTGAGAGAGTCTTTAAACCTCTTTTGTTGACCACCAACAAAAGCCGTGACAGATACAGATAGAGAGATAACACGCTGCAAAGTTTGCTGGGGTACATGAGAGGCCAAGGACAGTCATGCAGCCCTGGGGGACAGGGTAAACTTGCTCCCACTGTCTTCCTCTCCCTGTGTTCTGCGGGAGTGTTCAGGGAGGCAGGAGAGGATATATTGTTAAATTATATCCTTCCCAACTTGTGTTCTACAATTTAGCAGGGTAACATTCCCTTTTTTAAACTTGTACAGCAAATAGCATCTTTGCCAGGCTTGTATAAGCCTCTAAAAATAAGTTTCCTTGGTAATTTCCCTTTATTCCCTCATAAAAAGATAGACACGACACAGTCTTGTATAAAAATATATAAAATAGTTTACTCACATTCTGTTCACAGAAGGATCCCAGAAGGCAGACTTAGGTTACAAAATATATACACCTGGAATCTATCCCATAAGGAGATAGTTCCTTTGTCCTCTCTTGGCTGGAAGCCAAGAGAGCATCTCAGGCTTAGCAGATGTTGCTTCTTCGAGAAATGGAGTCAGAGAGAGAGATGTCTGCCTCCCCTAAGCTATTTTGTTACCTGCCCAGGTGAGGTCACGCCCACCTCAGGTCACATGCAGAGGAAGTCTGTCCCAGCCAGGAGGAAACCGGAAGTTCCGACTGGCTGGTCCAGACATCCCCTTTTATGTCCATTCTAGGAATGTTGTATTTGACTGCTCTGTGTTTCACATCCCACATGTTCCCCCTTCGCAAGATAAGGCCTGAAGGGGGCTTGTGGTGTAGTGTTTAAACCTGGCTTCACACCCGGCAACCAATATATTGCTATACTTCAAAGGACAGGATCAGTGTACCCTGCAGAGCCCTTAGATTATTCCTGCTTAGGGACATCACTCCATCCTCTGACAATCTTATGCCAATTTTCCTTCAACATCTCAAAGCTTTTATTATGATGGTCCGTATGTAGTGGCTGTGCATACTTCTCTTGACACTGACCAATGCAATGAAATGCAGTCAGATTTCACCCTGCAGGATTTTTACCTGTTATCTGCTATGATTACGGGTATGTCATTGGCTACAGGGAAAGGTCTTCGATATTTGATTTGAGTAAATAAAAAAAGGCAGTTTCCTAGAATTTGTTTGAAATATAGATAGCTGAAAATATCTGACCTTTGAATTGACAGTGTTTCACAGAATCATACCTGATACGCATTTAATGGGCGTATTACAGTCTGTTCATCAAGATGAGAGAAGGTCTTCAGTTGTAATGAGGGTCAACAAGGTGTGATGGTCAATATTGTGGTGACTTGCATTGTACTTCATAGCTTACTTGTGCCTTCAGCTTCAGACATCACCAAGGTTTCCACAACACTTACCCAAAATATTAAAATGACCTCCGAACCACCTCCTTTGTATTTGGAAGGTGAGCAGGGGGGAAGAGAAAATTGCCAGGTGGTGACCATTACAGAAATTACTTGCAAGGCACTAGTATTTGATAGCTGCAGTTTCACTCACATTATCATCTGTTTTTGTTGACAAGTTTCCGAGATTTTAATCTTGGATTGCAAATGTTACCCTATCACAAAAGGCTTATATTGTCACAGCGTGTATAGTGGCAGAATACAGAATCATCTATGCATTGCAGCCGTTGTATTGAAAAATGTACCTTTGCTGGAAAAGAGCATTTAAATTTTTAGTCCACTTGGCCATAAATCATCTTCAATGTTCTCGAGGCTTGTAGACAACATATTGAAACTTTGCTGGCTTCTTTTATGAGAGTGCCACTATTTGCATTGCAGTAGTTTAAATTGTGTCAGCAGTTTTGGGACATAAACCCCTCCGAGTAGGGCCTTATAACTCACCTATTAAAATTCAACCTGGCCTGGAACTCAGCAAGAATATGCTGTTTGGGGACATTTTATTTCAGTCTTGTTTTCCCCCACTCCTCCTCAGCTAGGATGATGCTGAAGGGAGTGAGATTGCATAGGCTTTTCTGAGGCTATGGTCAATACCAGGAGTCAGCAAACTTTTTTTAGGAGGGGGCTGGTTCACCGCCCCTCAGACCTTGTGGCGGGCCGGACTGCGCACACACGCACGCGGCGGAGGGAGGCTTCTCTCCCCTTCTCTCCCCAAACCCCTCCCCCTGCTTTCCTACCTCCTCCCCCGCTCTGCCTGCGGTTAGGAGCTGGCCCTGGTGGTAGCACCTCTCCTTTCCGGGCCAGCTTTCATGGGCGCCAGGTGTGGGGCCAGCAGGTGTGCCAAGCTCCAGCCAAAGCCCCGCGATGCACCCATCACAATGCCCACAGCGCAGCCATGGATGGAGAGGCTGGTGGGCAAGTCTCAGCGTGCAGGCGGCAAGGCTTCAGATTGGCTGGCACCAATCAAAGCCCAGCTCCCTTCCTTCTCAGGGCAGGGAGAAGCCAGGAGGGAGGAGGAGCCGCCGTGGGGGGGGGGGGAATGGTGCCCAGGGGGGAAATTGGGAAAAAAAATGGCACAGCCCGAACGATCACGTTGATCCAAGCAGCAATTCCAGGACTGTCCGCGGGCTGGATCCAGAGGGCAATTGGGCCTGATCTGGCCAGCGGACCTTAGTTTGCCAACCCCATCGTCAATACCACTCAACTGCTTCCACGGTATGTAAAGGTAAAGGTAAATGGACCCCTGACCATTAGGTCCAGTCGTGACCGACTCTGGGTTGTGGTGCTCGTCTCGCTTTATTGGCCGAGGGAGCCGGCGTACAACTTTCAGGTCATGTGGCCAACATGACTAAGCCGCTTCTGGCGAACCAGAGCAGCGCACGGAAACGCCGTATACCTTCCCGCCAGAGCGGTACCTATTTATCTACTTGCGCTTCGTGCTTTCAAACTGCTAGGTTGGCAGGAGCTGGGACCAAGCAACAGGAGCTCACCCCATCGCAGGGATTCGAACCGCTGACCTTCTGATTGACAAGTCCTAGGCTCTGTGGTTTAACCCACAGCACCACCCGCGTCCCTTTCCATGGTATGACCACCCTTCAAATACTGTATTCAAGTATTTAACCTCAAAGAGAGTACAGTGGTACCTCTGGTTGTGAACAGGATCTGTTCCGGAGGCCCGTTCGCAACATGAAAAGAGCACAACCTGATTTGGTGCTTGTGCACATGCACGAAGCATGATCAGCGCTTCTGCGCATGCTCGAGCGGCAAAACCCGGAAGTAACCCTTTCCGGTACTTCCAGGTCACCACGGAACGTAACCTGAAAGAATGTAACATAAAGCAAACATAACATGAGGTATGACTGTATTGTAGTGTTGGGAAAGGTACAAGAGAAGTCAACCCAAATGATCTGGGGCTCTTCTAGAAGGTAAGGTTACAACATCCAGTGCTATTTAATTTAGAAAAGGGAAAAGGGGTAAAATAGTTTGGGGGGAAAGGTAAGGAGGGGGATTAGTAGAGAAAGTTGGTGGACGTTTTTCTATCTCTTTCATAAAATGAGAGCCCTGGTGTGACAGACAGATCTTGAGTCATCCTCCTGGAGACTCAGCAGCCAATCAGGATTGAGTGGAGTGTCATCCAATCAGGAGGGAACTGAGAGTTGAAAGAAAGAACCTGTCATATTTAACTGCCAGATAGGACTTGGATTCAGTTTAGCTAGGGGATTAGCTGGTTGGTTAGGGGCTTGCTAGGCAGGGAAAAGCAGATTATTTCCATTTAGGGGAGGAAAAGTTTCTAGAAAGGGGCTGGAAGTGTTTCGCATAACAGCCATTCTAGCATAAATCAGTTTATTTAGTAACATTCTTAAAGTGAAAGTAATAAGTAAAGTTCTTAATTCCTTTTGATTTAGACTGAGACCAAGTGTTGTGCTTTATCAGATTAATCGTGAAGCTTTAAGTCTCATCAGGTATGTATTAATAAAAATCCTGCTTTGTTTCCAACTTTCTTTTTTTCTTTAGTCCCAGAGACCTTGTGATATTAGCAAATTCTACCATATAGAAAGAATCTCAGACCTGCCAAGTGTCAGGGGGTGACTAAAGGTTAAAACACCCCAAACCTCTTCACATTATTAGGCTCCCATCTTTATTGAGGCAGTGAAATTGAATGGTGGGAGATGTTTTATGCTGTTTCAACTTGTACATTTTGTTGTATACTGCTCTAATATATTGTACGAGGGGCGGTCTATAAATATTTTTATTAAAAAATATTTTATTTTATTAAAAAAAATATTTGGAGGCACTATTTGGACTACCTGTAAGGTCCACTGTGGTCTGCTCTGGAAAGTTTATACCGCTTACGTATACCAGGTGGAAAGCCTGTCTGGCTTCCCCATTAAGAGCATCCTCATAAGAGGCACAATAGCAACCATATTAACGGGTTTGAGAAATGCTCAGCATGCTTCCTGTGTCAGTGCTGCTAACACTCCATTTCATTGGACATCATTAGCCGCATAATTGGTAGAAAGAGCTTCGTGCTTTCAGAAGTGGCGCTTAACATTTTGAAATGAATTGGTACTGGGTGGTTTACTGCAGTGATGCTTTGTATGTCTTTGTATTGCTTGTTCAGTATAATTATTTAATTGACACTGACATGGGAATGGCCATGTGCATTGCTGAAAGTTTTATCATTGGGAAATTCCACTGAAGTATACTAAGCAAGGCGAGATATCTGGGCTGACTAGATGGGTTGATAATTAACCATTGTTGTTCTCTAGCAGCTAACATGGGAGTGTTTAACCTTGGATCAAGTGGCAAAGGTATTTGGTTGCAAATCTCCATTTTGAAAGGGAGTTGCCTTTAGCCTTTGTTCTCAGGATCTGCATAGCCTAAGACAGGCTTCCTCAGCCTTGGCCCTCCAGCTGTTTTTGGCCTATAACTCCCATGATCCCTAGCTAGCAGGACCAGTGGTCAGGGATGATGGGAACTGTAGTCTCAAAACATCTGGAGAGCCGAGGTTGAGGAAGCCTGGCCTAAGGGGTAGAAATGCAGGCCAATGGAACCTGTGAGAGACAGAGCTATGCTTGTCCGCTCTGACTGTAAGTTTTATTTCTAAGAAGAATTTCTAAGAAGAATTATGGTGCTGGAGGAGACTCTTGAGAGTCCCATGGACTGCAAGAAGATCAAACCTATCCATTCTGAAAGAAATCAGCCCTGAGTGCTCACTGGAAGGACAGATTGTGAAGCTGAGGCTCCAATACTTTGGCCACCTCATGAGAAGAGAAGACTCCCTGGAAAAGACCCTGATGCTGAGAAATATGGAGGGCACAAGCAGAAGGGGACGACAGAGGTCGAGATGGTTGGACAGTGTTCTCAAAGCTACCATCATGAGTTTGACCAAACTGTGGGAGGCAGTGGAAGACAGGAGTGCCTGGCGTGCTCTGGTCCATGGGGTCACGAAGAGTCAGACACGACTAAACGACTAAACCAGAAGAAGAAGATGAACCTGTGCTGGGCTTGCACAAGATATCGTACGGAATTATCTAGATGTATCTTTGATGTTTTGAAGGAAGTTCGGCAAGTAAAGTTTTGGGTCTCGACAATGCTCCATTCCAAAAGGAGTCAGTTTTTCTGCACCCAGTCAGTTCAAACTGTGCAATACTAATATCTGAAAAATTGATTTCTGTACTTCTGGAGCAGCTTTGGGTACAGCTATGTAAAATAAATAAATAAAACATTGCAATCAGCATCAATGATATTAGTTAATATCTAATGCTAGAAATGCACCATGTGTCATGGGGCTGGGAGGAAGAGCACAGTTAATATTGCACAGTTTGAACTGACTGGGTGCATAAAAACTGACTCCTTTGGGGATGAAGCATTGTCCAGACCCTATTATTATTACAGTGGTACCTCGGGTTACAGACGCTTCAGGTTACAGACTCTGCTAACCCAGAAAGAGTACCTCGGGTTAAGGACTTTGCTTCAGGATGAGAACAGAAATCGCATGACGGCAGTGGGAGGCCCCATTAGCTAAAGTGGTACCTCAGGTTAAGAACAGTTTCAGGTTAAGAACGGACCTCCAGAACGAATTAAGTTCTTAACCCAAGGTACCACTGTATTATTATTATTATTATTATTATTATTATTATTATTACATTCTTTATGTTCTAGAAGCAAGTGGGCCTGGAGAGCCATCAGCAGAGAAGCTGTCTTGATGGAGCTATGGGTGAGATGTAGGGTCTGCCTCCCCTCTGTCATCTCTGTCAGAGCCTGCATCTAAACTGGAAATCCCATCACCCAGCCCTGTGCTGTGCCCCCTGCCTGCTTCTGTCTCTTCGTGATCCCTCAAGATTCCTGCTTCGAGTACCTCCCAACTTGTCCCCTCCTCTGAGGCGTGGCCAGTGTCCCACCACCAGAATCCGGTATCTAACTCATCTTCTCCTGTGCCTTCCCTGGGGGGCTCTGGGGTAGGCAGCTTCCACCACCCTTCCTCATCCAGTCGGTCCCTGACACCATGTGACAAAGAGCACTTGAACTCATCATACCAGCAATTGTTGAGAAATGGGATCATCTTAATAGATGGTCCTGGTTGCAGGTAGGCTCTCAACCTGGTTCCCCCCACCCTGACGTGGGTGGAGCTATCGCCCTCACGCCTTGGTGGCACCACAGTCACCCAGGGCTATTGCCCAATCATGTCATTGGGTGATAGTGGGGGAAAGCGGCAGTTTGGCGTGTGCTTGGCTCCTGCTTCGCGCTGCTGAACACCCGCCCACCCTCTCTTTAATTTAGATCCTTTGGCCTTGCTTTGGACTTTGTTTGGTTGCCCGGCTTGAGTCGGGGGCCAGGTAGGAATTTTTTCCATTTGGGAAATTGGCACGGGCCACTTGGCTTTTGCCTACCTCTTAGCAATCGTTACAACTTTGTAAGGTTTGGCAGTTAGGCATTGGCTTATGGTGAATGGGGGAGGGGAGGTTGGCCATCACCTGCTCCTCCAGTTTCAAGGGTATTCCGTTAAAGGAATCCCGGGCCTGGTTCCTGTCCGAAGTCCACTTGAAGGGTGAGGGCCATGCCAGGCCTCTGGGAACACCAGGGGAGCTGCAGGCGGGTTCCTCCAAAGCAATTTCCCTTTGGGTGGTTTACCCTTACAGACTTCCTGCAAAGGGGGCAGAAGTCAGATATAGTCTTGCCAATACCACGCTCATTCCTGTAATCAATAAAGTTGTGGCCAAATTTTTGCCCAAAACCTTAAACAAAATATCCGTGTCTGTGTGAATTTATTTATCCTAATGGGGGGTCCGCTTGAGGGTCTTGCCACGCAACTGGTTTGTAATGACTTTACAGGGATGGTGTAAGGATTATTCCAAGAGAAAAATTCCACTGAAGGAGTTTGTTAGGTGAATCACATCCTTAGTTCTATGTGGACATATAAAAGGACCCAACCTAATTGCAAATTCTTCTGGTATATTCCTTCTGCTGACAACACCCATTGCTTCTGGAAATTTACAAGCTTCCCCTTAAACATTCCACAACTCTTGGAATATATAATCTCCCCATTTCTAATGCATCTCCAACACTATCTTTGCTCCTATGACTAATTTCAGTATAAATAATTTGCCGCTTCAAAACTGATTTATGAGAATCGTACCATCTTAACAGTGGATTCATCCCCCCACTAAAAGAAAAAGAAAAGAAATTCAAGTTTAGGATAGGTGCATAACATAAGGAATTTTAATATTTTCAGCGTTTGTTTTCAACTCTATATGACTGTTGATATGCCCCAAATGATGTGGAATATAAATATGAATCGCTACTCTTTTTGCTTTATAAAGTGAGTTGTAAGGGGCTATATTGAAAAGACTAGCAAATGAAATGTCAAGTCCTCGACAATCTGGGAAAATAAAACACCTAGATTTGATTTTTCCATCAATATATGCCATTAATCTTTTAAACAGGCCTTATGCATTAATTCAGCTAACCGTTTATGAAGGGGGAATTTTTATTAGGTGGAGCTCTGTTCTTGCAAGCCAAATCAGATTTACAGAAGTTCAAATTCCGGTATAACATAAAATGTGAATCATTTATCCTGTATCAGGCTGTACAATAAACATATATCAGAAAGCAGTGAAGATCTATAATGCTCGTTTTTATGGTGACATCCTCCTCTGACATCCTTCCTGACAGAAATGTGCATACTGTCGGCATTTAATCAATGCTCCAGGGTGCAACCTCCCATACTGAACCATAATATCTCTATAACTTAAGGCTCCCCAAAGTTACATGGGAGTAAACCTACAGAGCTCAGTAAGACCGTCTGCCCAGTAAACACACATAGGTTATGGGTGTCAGGTAACAAGGTATTTTAAGGAGAAGAACGACTTGCAGCCAGACCATTTGTCTCACCATTTGATCAAAAAATTGGAAGAATCCTCAAAGGTTGTTTGGTCCATTTAGCATTTCGTGCGTACTACTGAATCCCTGTTGCCCGGTCCCTGCTCCTGCCAACCTAGCAGTTCGAAAGCATGTCAAAGTGCAAGCAGATAAATAGGTACCGCTCCAGCGGGAAGGTAAACGGCGTTTTCGTGAGCTGCTTTGGTTCACCAGAAGCAGCTTAGTCATGTTGGCCACATGACTGTACGCCGGCTACCTCGGCCAGTAAAGCAGACGACTCTGGGGTTGCGCTCTCATCTCGCTCTATAGGCCGAGTGAGCTGGCATTTGTCCGCAGACAGCTTCTGGGTCATGTGGCCAGCATGACTAAGCCGCTTCTGGCAGAAGCAATGGGAGCTCACCCCATTGCAGGGATTCGAACCGCCAACCTTCTGATTGGCAAGCCCTAGACTCTGTGGTTTAGACCACAGCACCACCCACGTTTTCCCCAAAAAAACCAGAGTCCTTTCTGTTGGGGATAATTCAGACTGAAATTCCCAGGTGTCAAAAAAGACTATTTATGTATGCTACTACTGTGGCCCTTGTTTCGTTAGCCCAAAAAATGGAAAATGAGCGAGGTCCCAACCAAAGAAGAATGGCAACTTAAACTGATGGAATACGCACAACTCGCAGACTTAACATATAGAATAAGAGAGCAAGAAGAACATACATTTGAAGAAGATTGGGAAAAGTTTATTGAATATATGGGAAATAATTGTGTACAGCTGAAAACGCTGGCAGCATTAAGATAAATTCAACAGTGTAAATAAGTTTTAATGAATGCAATAATGGAATACTGAACGGTTTAGTTTTTGTAAAATATGCAGGGATTTATGATATGTAAAATGAAGCATGGAAAGAGAAGAAGGGAAGTCACTGATACTTTAAGGATGTAAAGTGAGTATTTTAAATTGCAAAACAAAATTTAATAAATATTATATTTTTAAAAATCAACAGAGATAGAAAGAAATACAGCAGACAACATGTTATATCATAAATAAAGTCATGGGACAGTCTTGGGGGAGTCCACTTGTCTGAGTCTCATTGTTTAACCCTTCTGAAAAAGACAATGTTCACTGGTTGATTGCAAAGACAGATGAAATAAAGCAAGTGTTAATTCGCTGTAGGTATAGGACAGGCTATAAAATCAAAGTTGGTGAACATTCACTGCTTTGTACCTTTTGGAAGAGCAACAATCAAAAGATTTTCTTAAAAACCGACACCACACCGCAAGATTCCAGTCCTTAGTTCTCCCCTTCTCTAGGAAACAAATCGTAGAAAATTGCAATTGTTCTGTGACTGGAGAAGGCAGACATAGTATCCAAGAATGCATTACAGGATTATTCCATAGCGAGGCAGACACAGGAGAAAGTCCTTAAAAATGACTAAAACAAAAACACTTTTATTTAGGAGCTCCTTAAAAGTGAATCACGCTGAGTTTTTGAAATAATGTCGGGGTGCGCTACGTGAAAGAGACGGAAGCAATGGGAGTGGGCTCCCAACTAAGCTCGCTCACCCGCGTTAACATTTTTTATTTTGTTCCGTGTAACACTTGTCTACCTATCTTTCACGGCGCAGCTCATTGCATTTTTAAAAGATGCTTTCTCCGGGAGCTAATTGAGCTTTATCTATGTGAGTGAGCCTGTATCTGTCACTGACAGCCTGCAGAAGGCCATTTCTTCAATTGCTTGAAAAGGACTAAAAGAGTCAGACATGACAAACTGCAGCCCAGAATACCTGGCAGCCAGCCTATTAGTGCTGCAATGCCAAGATGCACAAATAAATTACTTATATAACATACACTCACTTTATTTCTGTCAGGAACCCTCCTGCTGCTTATACAGAAGAAGGGACTTTAATTCCGTCGCGGCGCCATGCCAACCCACCCCCCTCCTTCAGAACTGTGCTTGCCGGAGCTTTTCAGAAACCCAATGTATTATTTATTTTTTTATCAGAAATATAATTGCGAACATTCTGGTTCTGTTTTGTAAATGTCATTTCTTCATGATGAGACTTTTAAAAAAAAAGAATCGGCTCTTCTTCGTTCCGGCAGCTGTTCGGAACACAATGCTCAGTCTGCACATATAGTAAACTGGGTGGTTTATATAGTGTTTCAGGTGGGGAGTGTCGTTTTTGAATAATCTCCCACATTAAAACAAAAACTCCCTAGAAGTTTTTTTTTAAAAATACTTTTAAGGAGCTTTTGTGGACTCTAGAGGCCTTTTGAGGAATTCTGAGTTTCAGGCACTTTGAAGTTTGAAAGCTCTGCAACAGTTTGATGGTATTTCACTTGTTTAATCTCTGTGGTTTGTTTTTATGCTGAATTTGCATGTTAGCATTTGATGGTGTGTTCATCTACTTCTGATGCAAGCTACCCAAATAACCTCAGTTATGGGGCGGCATTTGTTAAATAACCTAGCGGATGAGGAAGAATTCTACCCCAGCTTGCCCACTGTTAATGCTTGATTTCTGAATACTGTACACGCACACACATACACACACTCATGTATATATGTGAGAAGATTTAACGCTGTATTGTTTTTAACACTTGATTGGAAGCCGCCCAGAGTGGCTGGGGAAACTCAGCCAGATGGGCGGGGTATAAATAATAAATTATTATTATTATTATTATTATTATTATTATTAAAAATATGATTCCAGACTAGCAGACTGAGGTAGCACATCCCATACCACCTCATATGTCTTTATCATTTTTATTTTAGCTGCACGCGCAGCACAGGCCCCGAGCCAAATAAATATAAGTGGGAAGGAGACTCTTGCTTCCTTTGTCCCTCTGTCCTGACGCATAAGTGTTAAAACGTGTTGATAGTAAGTGGCCTGTGAGTGAAAATCCAACAATATGGTTCTAGCTGTTAGTATTTGTGCTGTATTTGTTAGGAAATGTATTTTACAAAGAATAAAGTGAAGCAGGGAGAAGAAAACCAAGGTAATGTAATGTAGCAGCTGCAAGAAAAACTTGTCTTGCCAATTAAGGTCACAGAAATGCTGAATCGTCATTGCCTTGTTAATTTGTTAATTTCCTTTAATAGAGTGTGTGTGTGTGTCTTACGCAGGAGGGGTGGGAGTTGAAGGTTGGCTGGTGGGAGTGTGGAACTTCAAGCAGTGGCTGGGTCTGAAGGAGTTTCTGAGAACAGGTAATCAATGGACTGATAACTTATGCCAGGGGTCGGCAAATTAAGCCCCGGGGGCCGGATGCAGCCCACTGGGCTCATTAATCCGCCCCGCGAACCTTGCAGACCCTGCCGCCCACTCAGTCAGTCCCCATGCTAAACCGGCACAGGGCGGAGGCCTCGCCGCACAGGGGCTGACTTCCGTGACGCTGGTGCGGCTTCAGATTGGCCGCAGGAAGCTCCTGCAGCCAATCCGAAACCACGGATGCCTCTGGGTGACGCCCCTTCCTTCCCTCTGAAGCGTCCTCATATGGCCAAGAGCCAATCGGGAGGAAGCGGTGGTGGCAGGAAGGTTGCCTCCGCCACCCAGTGCAGCGGCATGGGCTCTGCACCCTGTGGAGCCCTGGCCAAGGCAGAGGATGACTGCGATGCTGCCAAAGACAAGGCGGAGGCGGCAGCTGCGGCATGAGTGGAGGCGGCGGTGGGGGGGTCCTTTTGGGAGATGGTGGGTCCAGCCCCCCACAAGATCTGGGGGACAATGGACCAGCCCCCTCCTGAAAAAGTTTTTGACCCCTGACCTATGCATTGCTGCGAAGGAGGTTTGGAAACAAGAAGCTAGAAAACCCTCTCTTGGGCTCAAG